TCACCCAGTTTGCTTTATTTCTTTCCAATACCTCTGCGGTGAGAATATATGAACTTCAAGAAATATAAAATTTCAATTGATCTAGAAGCATATCCCTAGTATATTCCAATCCATGTCATTGAGGCACTCTTTCATTATTCTGAAAAACAATTTTTGTTATAAAATAAGCGTCCATATCGGAAGACGATCTATCTGATTTTAGGCATCGGATAAGCAACGGCACTTTCCCTCTGTGGGTTGATTGGCTAGTAATTTCCCTACTAATAAGATTCTGACACACAAAGATTGAATTCATCATTCGATTCGACATCATCATTTCTATTCTGAAAGCATATATTGGTGATTATAACTCGGAGGAATTCTTTGGTATTTTCAGTCACAGAATTCTACTCTTTGGATTTAGATCTTTTCATCATTTTTATAATATGATAGAAAGTGATGGCTTTTGATTTTTCTATCACTGTAGATCTGTTGATAGTTTTTACATTTTTTAAAAGAAAGAAAGTCAGAGAAGAAAAAGTACAGTGGAAAGAAACTTAGCAAATTCGTGGTCGGGAGTTTTTATAGATGAAATATCAACGGAATAGAAATATCGGTAGAATAAAAATAGCATATGTTACTTTTTTTAATACAATATTTTGATGAATATATCTATAAAATTTACTTGAACTAGCTATTGATTTTCAGGGGAAACCAATCGAAGAAAAATGGCATCTTTCTCTTCAATAGTATTTCACTAGAGTCTCGATGGAATTACNATATTTTGACGAATATATCTATAACATTTACTTGAACTAGCTATTGATTTTCAGGGGAAACCAATGGAAGAAAAATGGCATCTTTCTCTTCAATAGTATTTCACGCATGATTAAATTTTTTGAAGCAGCATCAGATCAACTAATTAAGAAATGATTAAAAATTGTGCTACGATCTTGTAGTTGATTAGTTTCAACAGAAAGAGTTTTAATGGAAAATATTACGAGATATTTTTCCTCAATGAGAGAATTTTCAACAGGAGAACATTGAGCATTTATTCTTAATCGCTGGTACAAAGTAATTAAATTTGTAAACAATAGATCACTATAGTTGGTGGATCATTATCAGTTAAAAAAATGAACGGATGAATTTGGTGTTGGGCCACCTTTGACCACCACAGGATTCTACACATAAATTCATGTTGAATTTTTCAAAAAGATGCATCCCTCCCGCTGGCTGCAGGTGAAATTTTTGATTATTTATAATTAATTGATTTTTACCACCAAAAAGCTAAAAGTTGACTACCTTTGACCAAAAGTATCGGCAATCGCTGGGTTGGTTCAGCGGGGGGGGGGTTCGTACTTCCCCAACTGTACACATCCACGGCTGTCCACAGATTTGTGAAAAATGTGAGGGAACAACTGTACACAACCACATCTGTGCACGGTCCTTGCAGTCGGTCAAATAGTGTCGGTAGAGTAGAAATTGCATTCGTTTTAGTCGCAGTCGATATTAATTATCGACATTAAGAGCCTTTACACTGTTACGTTCCAAGCTGGTTCTCCATTGAACAGATGGCAGGTCCAATGCCCGTGGAGCGCTAAAGCACTCTGCTCCACAAGTGCGGGAATTTTCGAATAAAAATAATTGAACACGAACACCAATTTAATTAGATAATCCAATCGAAACGTTTATATTTACTTTTCAAAACTTAGAAGATATTTTACAATAACACTTTGGGTTTTTAAAACTTGAGAAGACGATAACAATTTCTCTCGAACTTCTCGTATCCACGTATGGGGTGGATCTGCCCTTACTCTTACTCTAAAAATTAGTCTAAGTGTCGAAGACGAAGGGCTCATCCCACAGAAAAGAGTAGGGGACCAATCGTGGCCTTGAATCCAGTGAACAGGGTTGGTCTAACACCCCCGCGATCGCTCGAGCTGGCCCAGCCCCAACTCTCGAGTCTACCTGACTTGAACAAAGGGCCTTACATGTGGTTTTTCGAGAGAGAAAATGCTTGAATTTCACCCGGGGAAAATAAACTGTCTCCTGGAAAAGGTTTTACGACTCGAACGGTTTAATGTCAAGCTAGAATTGCACTCGAAAACTCTATATAAAAAAAACAATACAAAGGATCTTTTATTTTTGGATGGCCAGAGCTACGTCGAGAGACTCTTTAGATTTATTACTCGTTTCCTGTTTACGAGTTTCTCGAACTTACTTTCCAAAATTCTATATTTTCTTGTTTCCAAAACCGTGGGAATATTTCAACTAGCTTAAAAATAATATTGGATTTATAAAATTATCAGATAAAAATATTTGAATCTCAATGGTATAATCTAGTGGAATAACGGTAGTCATAGGGACTCAATATGGTAACTAGTGGTTTACGCGACACACCCCCAGGTACTTAGCCGAAATAGGTCACTAATTAGAAAAACGACCTTATATAGTAACATGATTGTACAATGAAAATTTTTGTTTGTACATTCACTCATTAATTTAAAAAAATTAATCAAGTTTTGGCATGATGCTAGCCGAAAAAAACTGTACATTGCTTAATTGTGCTAAATTATGGGTCAATTCCGAAGGAATTCTAGCAGAAGTTTTGCCTTCCCAGGGTACCCCCACTCTACGTAATTTCCACTCATATGCTTGTCCCCCACTCCAAAAATCCATGGATATTCTTCTGGAAGAATAGTCCTAGGTGGCGTTTTCTTATTTAGCGAGCCAACAGCGCAAATGATCGTCGCTCGTCGCACAAGGTCCGCGATTCCACTGGGTGTCCACTGTTAATTACACGCTTATGTATCCCAAGTAGACTCTTTTGAATTCACGCTGCGTAGCGCAGTCTCATTTGAATTGAGACATCAATCTAATACATTGAATGATTTAATAAAATTGAAAATGCAAATAAACTTGCTGTGAATTTATGTAATTTTATCGAAGAGTACTTAATGGAATTCCATTAATGGAATTTTAAAAGAAAGATTTCAATGTTTGATTTTGAGTCAACGGCTGAGCCTCATTCTGTTGGAAATTGCTGGCGATTTTTTCTGGGTCGAGAAATGGCGTACTGATGCCTCTAAAGATGGTTTTGAACCAGGGAAGACCCCTACACCCCACTCGACAATGTTGTCACAACTCTGCTTTTCAATTGAAAACAGACATTATTTTTAAAGACATTTGTCATGTTTAGAGATATCAGCACGTCATTTCTCAAGCCGCTCTTTCATTTGAGCTCAAAAAAATATTCATATATTGTCTGACATCGCTGTTACAAACTCTGGTTTTCAACTCTGGTTTTGAATTGAAAACTCAATTCAATTGAAAACCAGAGTTGAAGACCCGAGTTTGTAGCAGAGATGTCAGACAAGATATGAATGTTTTTTGGGCTCAAATGAAAGAGCGGGTCGAGAAATGGCGTGCTAGGGCCTCTAAAGATGCTTTTGAACCAGGGGAGACTCCTAGACCCCAATGTTCTATACATACTCCTAGACCCCATTGTCCTTCTAGACAATGTCACAACTCTGCTTTTCAATTGAAAACAGCCATCATCTTTAGAGACATTTGTCATGTTTAGAGGCCCTAGCACGCCATTTCTCGACCCGCTCTTTCATTTGAGCCCAAAAAAACGTTCATATCTTGTCTGACATCTCTGCCACAAACTCTGGTCTACACCTCTGGTTTCAATTGAAAAGTCAAATACGGAATGCTTGCACGAAATTTCAAGTTTTTAGAGTTGAATATCGTAGAAACTATGTAGTAAACTGTTAAAAATTTTCGTCTGAATTTTCCGTGTTAAATTCTGAAAATTTTGATCCTGTTCAAGTTCCACTGAAATTTCAGGAAATGTTGTCTTTGAAAAATCATATATTCCATTGATTTTCTGTTCAAATGATCTGGAAATCAATAAAATACTTGATTTTCCTCTTCAATTATTCTGTAAAAATTCATAAAAACCTGGAAAATTTTGGGCTAAAATTGAAAATTCATGTCATTTTGTTCTGAATACTCATGTTCCACTGAAAACTCAATCAAGTTGTGGCCATGGAAAAATCTAATTATTATCAATAATAATAGACATCCGATTGAGCACCAACTCAATCATAATATTTCTATCCCCATCAACCTCCAATTACAATTCATTTCAGATTTTCCTCTTCAAAATTCCAGTTACCTTTACACTACTTTACATAATTCACTGTTTGCTCAACATTTCAAAAAAGTCAAGTGTCTTGCACCGCAGGAACTAGCGTCTAGCGCCCCTCGCAATCCCACCCAAAACTAAATCCTTCACCTCCACAATCGACCCACCTTTCTCTCCATTGTTGCCCCCGCGGCGAATGATAAAAATGAACCTCCTCCAACCCCAAAAAACTGTCAATCGTACTGCAACAATCACCCCAAGTGAACAAGCCCCAGCAGTCCCCTAACTCAATCGCCCCTGGCTCCAGCCAAACCATTGCAATAACAGGTAAACAATTACACCCAAACCCGTGCCCCCCATTCCCCCAAAGCCTCGATCCTCGAAAACCTACCAAAAATAGGTCACGAGATCGAGCAGTCATGTCCCTCCGTCGCACCTGAGTCACCTCCCCCGAGACCTCTAAAAAACTCATAACCCCCCAGTAAACCGAGAAAAATGGGCGACCAACAACTGGAGAACCTTCGCAAGTGGCTGGACACCTTTGACCTTGAGGTGCCCCACAGTTCTCCGAAGGACATAAGTGACGGTGTCGCCCTGGCAGAGGCCCTAGCCCAGATAGCCCCCGAGTGGTTCACATCAGTCTGGAGATCAAAAATAAAGTCGGACGTGGGGGCAAACTGGCGACTGAGAGTAAGCAATCTCAAGAAGATCGTCGAGGCAGTAATGGAGTACTACTCCGAGTGTCTGAATCAGCCACTGTCTGGTTACGTGAAGCCAGATGCCTCGAAGATCGGTGAGCTCTGTGACACTGACGAGCTACGAAGACTACTACAGCTGGTGCTGGGCTGTGCTGTCAATTGCACAGACAAGCAGAAGTACATCACGAGGATAATGGGAATGGAGGAGTCTGTGCAGCAGGCGATAATGCAGAGTATCCAGGAGCTGGAGGGCAGCATGCACGGTGCAAAGTTGTCACTGGGTGCAAGTCTCAACTTCGAAACGCTGGACGTCGCTGATGGGGGCCAGCAGAGGCTGCTAGCAGAGCTCCAGATGGCAGTCGACCTGAAGGACCAACTGGGCCAGCGTTGCCATGAGTTGGACCAGCAGTTGTCCCTCCTGCAGGAGGAACGAGCTGCCCTCATCACTGAGAACAAAAAACTCCAGGAGAGACTGGAGGAATTCGATAATCCTGATAATTCAGCGTCGAGTCTGAAGTTCTCGGGCCTCAGAAAGCAGATCGAAACTCTGAAGGATGAGATATTCAAGATCGAGGGGTCCAGGGACGACTATCGACTCAAGGTTGAACTCCTGGAGAAGGAGGTGTTCGAGCTGCAGTCCAAGCAGGAGGAGCTTCAGAAAGTCGCTGAGGAGTCCAATCAGCTGAAGGACGAGATCGATGCACTCAAGGAGACTGCTGACAAGGCCACTAAGTACGAACAGACGATCGAGTCGTACAAGAAGAAGATGGAGGACCTGAGTGATTTGAGGAGACAGGTGAAGATTCTTGAAGAGAAGAACCTGGAGTACATGCAATCGAAGATTGAGTATGAGGAGGAGATAAAGCGCGCGTCGATGGTGAGGAGCCACCTGGAGGGGTGCAAGCAGCAGTTGGCTGAGTGCCAGTACAAGCTCGACGAGCAGACGAATAAATGTGACAAATTGGAGTTCGAGACCAAGAAGTTAGAGGCGAAGTTGTCGTCGGTCCAGCGGGAGAAGGAGAGGCTGATCATCGAGAGGGACACGTTGAAGGACACTAATGAGGAGTTGAAGTGCACGCAACTGCAGATAGCTGAGAACTCGTCGACTCCGACGATGGTTCATGCTGTGTCGAATGCTGAGTTGATACCGCCTGAGATCAAGGAGAAGCTTCTGCTCTTGGAGCACGAGGTCAAGATGCTTAAGCTCGAGCAATCTGGGAATGATGAAAAACTACCGACTGTTCAGGCTCTATTGGATGACTCTGAGGAGCGGCTGAACACTCTCAGGGGGCAGAATCGGAAGGCCAATCAGAGGATTATGGAGCTGGAGAACAGGATTGAGGAGCTGACGGAGCAGCAGAGTGGGGAGGTCAAGGTTGTAGTGAATTTTTATTTTTTACAGTTTACATTTGATTGGAGGCAATTTATTATTGTCCTGAGATATGAAAATCTTCAAGGGAAAACCAAAATATAACATAATTATTGTAAATGAATCTTATGAATTATTTGGGTGTCTTTTCGAATTATTGAGATGGCTTTGGACCTTCAAAAATTTAATTTTGTTGAGGCTTTTTATATGGCTTTCTTATCATTCAAAAGACCTAAACATTTTTTTTTTCAAATTTTATTACGTCCACAACATTAATTTTTTAGTTTTGTGGGTTTTTGACAAAATTTTAAGTTTCAGCAGAGATCAATTTTGGTTCCGGGTTTTCAATACGTATTTCTGATGGAAATTTTCCGTTCTTTCGATTGAGCATGGTGTCAATTACCTCGCATCATCGGAAATGCTTAAAAATCGCAAAAAAATTAGAAAAATGTGCGTGGTACCCTCTACCCCCACCTCCATTGGATATTTTTTTATTTTTTACCCAAACTGACTATTTTTATGAACCATATTGAAAAATTAGACTGGGACGCAAATTCGTTCTATTCAAAAAATATTTTTTTCAAATTTCGTTTTTTAACATTGTTTCCAATTTTTAATTTTTCAATTTTTTAAATTCAAAATTCATCATTTATCGACCATTTATGGATCGACTAGATGTCCTTCCCATAAATTCTTGTAGTTTTCGTTATATCTACAATTTTTTTTCATCAGGACTTTGATTACATAAAACCTTGCACAAAGAGCATAACACTTGAGATCAATTTTCTGTACACTTGAATTGATAATGAAAGTGTTCATCGTGCAATCGAAACAAGAATTCCTCAGTTGGAGATGATGAGTGATCAGGAAAGTGAATTCTCACAGTCCAGCAAATTCTAGATACAACGCAAACTATATGAATTTATGGGAAGACTTATGCTAACACTTAAAAATTTTCTCTGGATAAGAGAATCTCTAATCCTCTTGAAAGCCTTCTTTCTTCCAATGTCAACACAACATTATTTACCAGGAGATTTCACGATTCTAGAAATTAACAAGAGAATATTTTCTTGTATCAAGGAAATCATCTTTATCAGAGGTAATTTTTTCTCACTGTACTTCAAACTACTATTCAAATTCCTAAAAGGTCGATGGGGCAGCCCTGCAGACTCAGATTCTACATCTGCAGAACGAAATTAAACAGCTCCAGGGGGAGAGGGAGCGTGCGACTCTTCAGGTTGAGGAGAAAGAGGGCACGATACAGATGCTGAAGGAGAAGGTTCGTGTTATCCAGGAGAGTCTCAGCAGAAAAGAGGAGGAGAATGCTGCACTGGAGGAGAGGTACAAGAAGTACATTGAGAAGGCGAAGAGTGTTATCAGGGGCTTGGACCCCAAACTGAGTAATTCGCCGGGGGAAGTTATGCTGCTGAGGAATCAGATTGTCGAGAAGAGGAAGAATATTGATGACTTGGAGAGGTCGATGAGGGAGGCCAAGATACTTAGGGAGATGGAGGAGAAGCTCATGATTTCGGCGTTTTATAATCTGGGCCTGGCGTGCCAGAGGGAGAGTGTGGATCAGAGGCTAGCTGCACTTGGGACCAGCCAGGGGAACTCGTTTCTCTCTAGGCAACGGCAACCTTCCGCCAGGCGGACCATTCATCCCACTTATAATTCTAAGTGAATTTTAGAAAATTGGGGAAAAGATAGTATTCTTGAATCGAGGATTTTTTCATTGGGATTTTTCATTTTGCAATTTTTTTTTATTGCTGCATAAGAAAATTTAGTGAAAAATGTTGGACACGTATTTTTCAATTTTGATGGGTGGTGGAAAATTAATTTATTATAAATGATTGGAAATGTACGTTGTGACGTCATAATCATTTACTAAAGTTCTGAAAAAATCTGAACTTGCATATTATATATTTTGTTTCAGAACTTTAGTAAACAAGTGGAGTTTCTTATTTTTTCAAAATAAAAGGAATACGTATCTAATATTTTATATCAAATTTTTGGGTTAAGAATGAGGAAGCCTAATTTTGGTTCAAAGATTGCAAACGATCAGAATTTAGTCTAATCATTCACATTGGGGCTGTTGCGTCAGAGAGAGAGAGAGAGAAAGAGAGAGAGAGAGAGAGAGAGAGAGAGAGAGAGAGAGAGAGAGAGAGTGTGGATCAGAGGCTTGCTGTACTTGGGACCAGCCAGGCGGACCATTCATCCCACTTCGAATTCTAAGTGACTTTTAGGAAATTGGGGAAAAAATAGCATTCTTGAATCGAGGATTTTTTCATTGTGATTTTCCATTTTGCAAATTTTTTCATTGCTGGACAAGAAAATTTAATGAAAAATGTTAGACACGTATTTTTCCATTTCGATGAATAATGGAAATTTAGTGAATTAGAAATTATTGTTGAACAGATGTTTAATGAACAGACGTTTCTTCAATTGGCTCTGTCTTCTTTATTTGTCAAAATAAAATTTCTATTTGAGAAATCCTCATTTTTAATTAAAAAATTGAATGTAATCATTCAGGAGATAATTTTCAAGGGAAGAAATCGAAATTCTAGATTTGTGAAAAGAAAAATTCCCAAATCACGAAGAATTTTCTTTTGAATTGGTACTAGTAATATTCTTGAATCAAGAATATTCCGAGTTATGGTGATTATTCGTCCCTTTGTATATAGTAAAAAGGAGAGATAATGTATTTTAAATGGTTCCATACCGTAATATATTTTTAAGAAATTTTTATTATACAGTTATAGAATTTAGAGTTACCATATAGTCATGTTTGTCTTCACTCTATCAAGCAATATGTTAACGTTATTTTAAAGTGATAATCAGTGATAGATTCTGTTAGTTAAGATGCAGTAGATTCTGGAGTCTTCAAAGATTGTACGATTGAGGGAATTCATGCTGATTAGAAACAAGAGAATTTGTGAAAGAGAAAATAAATTAAATTCATTTTATTATTCATTGGAACAAAAATAATCTGAAGACTTATAATTTTATTTTGTATTTACAAATGGCTCAGTTGTTTGGGCATTCAGGAACTGGAAACTGCTAGTTGCTCTAAAAATTTTCGCCTGTTGTTCTCCACTTTGTTCGTGAACGCAGCTGCGCGTAACGAGCAAGACTGGTCAATGGCTTTTTGGTGGATTTTCAATTTCTCCAGCTGCGCGTAACTGCGTTGATAGTGGAACACAGCTATCAGTAGGTCCCATATGCTGGACTCTGGCCAGAGAACATTGGTAAAATGTACGTAGGAGTGAGAAATCTATTGAAAAAAACAACAAGTGTTATTGATAATTTTATAATGAGTTCAATAAATTTTTCAAGTTTGATGCATTTTCACAATGAGAATTTTTTTTCCCTGAAACATTCTTCGTTTTTGTCGGTGAGAGGGGAAGATTTATTCATGGCAAGACAGCAATTTAAAAAAAGATAAATAGTTTTGAATGGAAATTCACAATACAAATTTACTCACAATTCGTATTACATATTTCCAATATTTTTTTATTGTACATGTTTACAATAACCATTTGTTACAAAAAAGTGAAAGTAAGTTAGTTTCATTGGAGACTCAAAATTGCATACGTCTTCACAAAATATTTTCAATAATGAGATTTGCAAATTTCATTGCGAGGGAGAAAGTTAAAAAATTCATTGATAATCAACGCAATTCGAATTACATTTCACAAAAAAAAATTGTTTACAAATATTTTCTTCGAATAGGTGAATATTGACAGTTGTTCAAACTTTTCGAAATAAACAAATTTCTTACGATTTGAGAAACATGATTTTTGGTGAAGAAAATTGGTTATTGACATGATCTTAAGAAACATTATTCTTTCAACTACTTAGTGAAGAGTAAATTCATTAAAATTCAGAGCTTCAAATTCAAAAACTCAGGGGTGAATGGACCTCAAATGGAAACTGTGATGTTTAACAACAAATTTTGAGGATTTCAACGAAAAAATAATTGCCAAAGTTCTTGGATGTCCTCAATCATCGCCCGATGAATTTCTCAATGAAATATTATCCGTTTGATACTAATTTACAACTTTTCAAGAGGACATTTCTCAAATTAATTTTTTGATGCAAAACAGTTTTACTTGAGGAAAATACATTTTCCCTCATTAATATAATCCCCTTGAATGAAAAAATGATTAATAATTAAATTAAAGATTTCATTACCTGCCACAGGAGATAATCACTAAACCGAATTTCCCCAGAAGTCCTTATGATGAGATCTGGGTCTGGAGATCGACTAGTATAAAGGCATTTAGAGAAAAGTTCCTCGTCGATATCAGCTGTGCTAATGGCATTATCCCTCACACCCTCTGCAATCGTTTTAACCGTCTCCGTGATCTCGTCCCTAGCTGCAGCCAAAATAACAAATGTTCATTTATTCAGACAGGAATAATTGTTTTTGACGACAATAAATATCAACAGGTTTCTCACACGTATAGGCGAACGCAATATTCAAGAATGCCTTATCATTATCTTTCGTGATAAGCATGGCCTTCGCCATTAACTGTCGCAGGTCTCCAGGTATTAACGACACATTTCCTATAATTGAAATACGAACGCCGTTCTCCATCAGTTTATCGCTGAAATTAAATTCGATATCAATTCCTGATGCACATAAACAAACGTTTTTTATCGTTGAAAATAGTTTCTTTCAACCGCTTTGAAAAAAATTGAAGGAATGAATTTTCTCTTATACCTGGGCTTTCATAGAATTTATTTTGAAATAAACAATTTACATATTAGCAGACTCCAAGAGTAAAGATAAAAATGAAGGGCAGTCCGGCAAAATAATGAAGATATTTAGAATATTAAACTCCATAAAATTCAATGCTAGCACCTAGATGTGGTGCATCATATTCATAAATTATAATTACTGTTAAATTTTGAAGTAGTCAATTCGTTAATATCAGTCTTGAATTTTTAATTATTGAAGTCATCATCAATTTAAGTATTCAAATTCCGAATTATTTTATTAATTAATAATTTAGATAGTAGGATTGACGATTATTTGGAAATTTAGTATTATTCACTTGGGAGCTATTCTCATTTTGATAATTCACCTCCTAGAAGACTCTAAAAGTGAAAATAAAAATAGAGGGCAATGTTTGACGGATTCTGGCACTTGTTCATATACTCCAAGTTGAACCTTTTTAGATAATCTGTATCTCCTGACAAAACAGAATAATTTAGATGAATAAAATCTTGTTTTGAAGCCTTAAATGAATATTTTAATAAAAATGAAAAAAGTTGTTCAATATCATTCTACAGATCTCAAGTTATTAACGATTAAATGATTAAACTTAAGTTTTTAAACTCAAGTTAAAGGATTAAACGATTAAACTTGAGTTCAAAAACTTAAGTTTAAACAAGAGTTTTTACATTACTTAAAAACATTTGAGTTTAAAAACTTAAGTTTAATCATTTAATCGTGAGCTTAAGTTGTTTAACTCTAAACTTTGTAAATTATTGTTTTTGTTCAGACAATCTTTTTGTACCTCTCGTCTAGGAGTCTTTGAAACTTCTCTCGTGCGAGATCAATCAGTGCATCGACTTCCTCCTGACTTCTTTTGAAATTTTCAATGCTGAAAGCGTAGACCGTCACCTCCTTGATGCCAAGGTCCAGACACCACTGGAGAGTCTCAGCGAGTTTGTTGAACCTTCAAAAATTAACTAAAGCTATAAAAATATTCCTCAATACTGTTTTCATCTGGATACATTTCCCGATTATCTATTCATCTGAAAAACGAGTGATGTTACCAAAAAATTTCTCAACAATGTGAGAAAATGTTGAGAGACCTTTTATTTTACTACTGAAATTCCCAACAAAAAAATCCCTCGACATTTGCCTCTAGAATAACTCATCACCAAAAGATTTTGCATTCAACAATACCTGAAAAATTGAATAGTTCCGCTAGTTTCAATACTTTTAATTTTTTTTATTCATCTCTGTGGTGTTACATGCCTCCTCCCCTCCGCAATAATTAGATAAAATCAATTATATAAAATTTCATCTAAATTAATATTTTCATTCAATTTAACTCCGTTTTATTTACTTACGAGCTAGTTTTAGTGGAGCTGAAACTAGCAGCATATTTGTCAGCGGAAAATTCCATTTAAGAGATAAAATTCCATTTAAGCGTAGGAGACTCAAATAATCATATGTAGAGGAGGTTGGGGTAAAACGGACACTTTTGACTTTTTTCAAATGTTAATGAGTGGTTGAAATGTTGATGAAATTTAATAATTTTTTTTTTCAATACAAAGACCAGTTCTTTCCCTTCGTGATGAGTCTAAACTGAGCTCAATTGATAAACTTGTTTCTGGGTTATGAATAATTTTAAAAAAGTCTAAAGTGTCCATTTTACTTCACCCTCCCCTACAAATGTTTTTTAAGTGCGAAAGAGTTTGTACATTACTTAAAAACATTTGTACACCCCTAGATTCACCCATGACAAATCTTCTGCTGTCGAATCTGTCCCTAGTTTCAGCTTCATCTAATTTTAATATATTTTCTGTAATAAATCACCCTTCAGTGTGTCCCTGGATCCCAGCCACCTGATTCTTTCTCGCATACCTCCTGTTCCCATCCATGATGAAAGCTACATGCTGAGGAATCCTCCCGCACTTGATTATTTTAACAGCAAACAATTGTAAAAAACTCAGTGTACTCTTCCTAATCCACGACATTCTCCCCTGATTCCCAAAAACCACAACAATCCCAAATTTAAAAATCAATCCCCAAACCTTCCAATCACCATTCAAAACAATAATCACCAAACCCCCGAAAAAACACTACTTCACAAATTGCAAAAACCCTCACTGAAAAATTCTCTCCCATAAAAATCAACTTCTCATTTCACTAAATTCGAGGAATATCGAGTTATACACAATCATAGACCTGTTCCCCGAATATTGGTCATAGCTTCAATTCAACTGAGGCAGTGTCACGAGTGGATGATGTCAACAATCGCAAAATTTGCAGCATCAGAGGGTAAAAAATGTCCCCCAAGACGCGAGAAGTTAACGAAAAAAATTAATTCTCAAAGAGAAAAACCAATTATTCAATGCGAAAAATTAATCGATAAAAGATTGATTCGATAACCCCCTGGGCAACTGATATTTCAACGTTCGTTCCTGGAATCCACCTATCCAATGCCTCCTCGCCATGTCTAAAAACGCATTTGTACTCTTCCCCCACCCCTAGAATGGTGGGGCGCCCCTCGCAGGGACTACTTCCCAAGCGCGGAGGATTGAGCATGCGTGTGCGTGCTGCGGTCGATAGCCCACTACTCACAGGCCAAAAGAATACCGTAAATTTTAATACCGCGCTATGACCCGTAAAAAAAAGCCAAATAACAATTAAAAAACATCGAGTGTACCGAGCCTAAAAAAATTAATTCCTCTCCAATGCTGACGATGGAGAGCCAAATAGGAACGAGTGAATCTGTCATTGAGCCAGGTAATACGGTTATCGAGTTGTGAGAAAAGCTGAAGTGATGAAAACATGGGTGCCCCAGTGAGCATGCGAGTTGTGTCTTAACCGAGCGTTCTTTATTTCAGAACTTTACTATCTGATTGCTAAATTTCTCGAGGCTGGACCCCTCAGAGACACTGCCGAGGTGAGTTTATTGACAGTTGCATTCACTACTGCGTCTGCTATTTTTTAACACTCGATTGATGAATTATTGTGTAATGTGCAGGTCCTCAAGCGGGAATTGGAGCGAGCCAAGGTAAGACCATTACTGGTTGACGTTTTACCGGGGAGCACTACATAACTAGTGGCTCCACATGGTTTGCACGTGGTTTCTGCTTGTCAAAACATTAGATTCAAGGGGCTACTGACCTCAATGTTAACGACAAATGTCAAAAAAAAATTTTTTCTCGATTTTTTAGTTTTTTGAAAATTTGTTTTTTTGCTGTTTTCTCGACAGATATTGCCCCGGAGACTCGATTGGGAGGGAAATTCGCATAATCAGGGGTTTGCAGAGTTGGTAAGTCCATTTTTACGATTTTGGTAATTTTTGGGGCGGGCATTGCAACGAGTGCATTCTTGCATTTTGTGCGATTTTTTTGGGCCCAGGGACGAGGTCTGGGGCTCAGGGCTGGGAGGAATCGAGCCTTTGTTTATTAGTTATCGAGCGAGCCTGAAATCCACCCCTGGGGTGACTGCCAACGTTTCAATCCTCTCTTTTCCCCCTCTTCTTTCTCGAGTGCTTACAACCGTACTATTTCACTCGTTTCCCCTCGTGGGCTCTTCGGTTTTATCGTGACATCTGGCGGTGGGGGATTGGGGATCTGGAGGTGAGGCGAATTCAGAATGCTGGGACATGTGTTGCGCCAGGGAGGACGCGGATTGGTTGAACGACAGAGGCTCGGCTATCATTGGGGGAAGGGGGACTACTTTTTGGGTTTGTAATGTGGCGGGAAGGGTTTTGGATTTTTTTAGAGGGTTTATTTTGGGTTGGAAGAGGCCTGGAGAGGGGAATAGTAATAATTCAATGGGGAAGTTGGATGATAAAGTGGTGGAATTGTAGTTGAGTTGTATTTCAACTTGTGGGGAATATATCTGAATTTGGAAGACATTGGAAATTTGTTTTTGGAAAAAATTTTCAATCAATTTAAAGTAGCTCTACCCTTACGGTAAATTCAAAGATTATTGAAAACTGCAAAAAAATTGCGGAAAACTCGATTAGATTCGGAATTCTAATTTTTTTCTCAATTTAATTATCGTTTTGGTTTTTCAAAGAAGAAATTTTTAAAAATCAGAATTTAATCCAGTGTCTTATGTGAAAATCAATATTCCTATTGTAATCAAAAATTAAAATCTTTTTTTTTTCATTAGATGTGAAAAAATCAAGAATTTTTTTGAGACTTCATAAAAAATAATCCACGGTTTCGCAAACAAGTTTTATTATTTATTTATAAGAGGGAAAAGTTATCAGTATTTTGCGAAATTTAATTTAGATAATACTGACTGGGTATGAATTTTTTCAAATTTTTTCCATGCAATTTTGCTGAAAAATTAAAAAACTGTAAATATCCAAATGTACAGCGTAGTCCGGCCGAAGGATAGAGCTACTTTAATCTTGGAAAATGGCATTCTATTGGCAATGTGAACGAGAAGCCTTGGCTTGTATTAGAAGATTGACTAATAATTTGTTGGTTGTAATGTGACGGGAAGTTTTCTAGATTTTTTGGGATTTATTTTGGGTTGGAAATTGGAAGAATGAGGACCTGGGCCCTGGAGAGGTGAATAATAGTTATTTAATAGTCAAGTTGTGTAATAAAATGATGAAATTGGGAGAAATATGATTTTTTTTAAAGCTTCGTTAATTGAATTAATCTTGAAAAATGGCATTTTTTGGAAATTTGAAGAAAGAGGCTCGGCTTTCAATGGAGATGGGGCCTAATTTTTGGGTTTTTAATGTGGCGAACAGGTTTCTAGATTTTTTTTGAAGTTGTGTAATAAAGAGATGCAATTGTATTTGCATTGTATTTCAACTTTTGGGAATATACGTCTTAATTTGGTCGAATTAGGAAAATTTTTTTGACAGCTCTTTTAACGGATTTAATCTTGATCCACTTAATTGATTTTGTCTTGAAAGATGGCATTGTTTTGGAAATGCGAAGGAAAAAGCTTGGCCCTCATTGGAGATGGATTTTTGGGAAATATATCAGAAATTCCGAAAAATAGCAAAAAATTTCTATTTTTTTTTTTATAGAGCGAGGTAAGATCTACGAAAGAAGTCTGCACAAAAATTTCATTATTCCTGATGGATTGAAGATATTTATTAGAAATTCAACTCATTTTCACGAATAATGTGACAAATCGCAGATTATTTTGAGAATTAGTTATGTTAGGAGAGAATGTCAAAAGGCCTTTTAACTTTTTCTCTTGAATTTTCTCATTATCAAGACTAGTAAAAATACCAACATTAGCAAAATTCAGTAACTAACACTTCATCTCAGAATTCTTTCATCATTCAAATCCATTTCAATTGATTTAATGTCAAGAAATGACATTGTTTCATTGCGTCATATTATGTCACTTCAACAGGAGAGAAAATATCCACACATAAGTAGAAACCACTTGCTGCAAGTATGTGCAAGAATCGGTCCAATACTGGAGAAAGAAGTGCCACCATGTGTACCTGGTGCTGTATCTCTTCTGGGGGCTGGGAGACAGTCGATCCTCCGCACAAAAGAAGGTGAGTCCCCAAAATAAAAATCTAACTCTAATAGAAATTCAAGGAAATTCCACATTTTTAAGCAGCAGGCACATATTCCATCAATTCAAAATTTAAGAAAATATTGACGTGAATTTTCGCTATTTCTATTGATTTCTATAGAATACTTGAACTCAAATCTACAATTTCCGGAGATTTTACATAGAATGTTAAATTTTCATTGCCGACATTCCTTGAAATTTCAGTGGCACTAAAATATCCTCTATTAAAAAATAGGGTCGGAGTAAGAGTCATGAGGGTCAGAATAAGGGTCATCGGGGTCAAAATAAGGGCCATGGGTATCAAAATAAAGCTTACGAGGGTCAAAGTAAGAGTCATGAGAATCAGAATAAAGGTCATGTGGGTGAAAATAAGGCTCTCGAGGGTTGGAGTAAGGATCACCAGGGCAGAATAAGGGTCATGAGGGTCAGAACAAGGGTCACAAGCATCAAATTAAAGGTCTTATTAAGGGTCATATGGATCAGATTAAAAGTCACAAGGGCCACAAGGATCAGATTAAGGGTCACAAGGGTCAGAGTAAGGGTCATGAGGGACAAAAACCAAGGGTCAGAAATTAACGGTCACTAAGGTCAAAACAAGGGTCACGAGGGTTATAAGGGTCAGATTAAGGATCCAAATAAGTATCACAAAAGTCAGATTAAAGATCCAAATAAGGGTCATCGAAGTCAGAAATTAAGGGTCAAAACAAGGGCCTCCATGTATTTTTTCTGCATTATAAAAATCCAAATGGACTTCTGGTGATGAAAATTTGGTCCATGAAATTAAGACTCCAAAATCAAGTGTCAAAGTAAGGGCCACGAGGGGTTTAATCAAGGTTAAAATGAGGGTCACGAGGATCAGAATAAGGATCATGAGGGTCATATGTCACATGGGGATTGGCGAGTGGAGCGAGCAGGGGGCGTAGCCCCCTAGTGAATAAATGAATACATGATAAAAAATAATATGTATAAATCACTAGCCAATGATGCATGTAGTGATGAAGATTTCCAAAAAGTGAACCGGAATTTGCTTCCAAAAAAGTTTACCAATCTACCAAAATCTCCGCATGTTGTTGCAGACCTTTTGAACCACTACCGAGGGATCACCGCTTACTCCAGTCGCCTGGGAGGTCAGCCCCTCCTCGAGCCTTCCAGTTCGCTCCTCACCCACAACATAGTCCGCGCTCTCCAGGGTCGCGAGAACTCGGGGCCACTGAGCCGGCGTGAGGCGATTCCCACAAAATTCTACTCCAAAATGCAGCTCTACAGACACACTCTGGGTCACCTCTCAGCCGTCTACTGCGTCCTCTACGACAGAACCGGCAAGTACGTGATAACCGGTGCCGACGATTTGCTGGTAAAAGTCTGGAGTTCAATGGACGGTCGACTCCTGGCGACCTTCAGAGGCGCTTCAGCCGAGATAATGGACATAGCCGTCAACTTCGACAACTCCCTGCTGGCAGCTGGAAGTCTTGACAAAATCCTAAGAGTCTGGTGCTTTCAGACAATGTCCCCAGTGGCAGTGCTCTCTGGTCACTCTGGCATGATCACTTCCGTCAACTTCTGTCCCATAAAATGCAACGGTGTTTACTACCTAGTGTCCACAAGCACCGATGGATCAGTGGCATTCTGGTCGTACACGAAGGAGAGACACGAGCGAGCAGTATTCCAACCAAAGCCAATTCAATACCACGAGAAGATGCGACCTGGACAGGCCCAGATGATCTGCGCCTCATTCAGCCCTGGTGGAGCCTTCATGGCAGCAGGATCAGCCGACCACCACGTCAGAGTCTACGCAATGCTTGGTGACGAAGGCCCCAGACGAGTCCTCGAGGTTGAGTCCCACACAGACACTGTCGACAGCATCCAGTGGGCCCACATGGGTCTCAATTTCATCTCAGGGTCCAAGGACGGCACGGCCAATGTCTGGCACTTTGAGCAGCAGCAGTGGCAGCACAAACGCCTTCTCATGACGACCAGACTCCCCAACGAGCCAGAAACCGAGGAGGACTCCAACAAAAAGGCTAAAGTAACGATGGTCAGCTGGGACTCGAGTGACGAATGGGTCATCACAGCTGTCAGTGATTTCTCCCTGAAAGTCTGGAACGCAAAAACTGGTGAATTAGTCAAAGTCCTTCGTGCTCATAAGGACGAAGTATTCGTCCTGGAATCCCATCCAATAGATCCAAAAATAATCCTGAGTGCTGGTCACGATGGGCAATTGATAATCTGGGATGTACTGAATCCCGAACCAATAGCTGTTTTTCAGAATTTCATCGAGGGACAGGGTAATGGGGCTGTCTTCGATGCTAAGTGGTCACCAGATGGCACAATGCTGGCAGCAACAGACTCCCATGGGCACCTGTTGATGTACGGTTTTGGCAATGTCAGTGATAAATTGAAGAAAATCCCGAAGGAGTTGTTCTTTCATACTGATTATCGACCGTTGATTCGTGATAATAATAATTACGTGCTGGACGAGCAGACACAGACAGCTCCACACTTGATGCCTCCACCGTTCCTGGTGGATGTCGATGGCAATCCCTATCCCCCAGCACTGCAACGTCTGGTGCCAGGTAGAGAGAATTGTCGAGGTGAACAGTTGGTCCCAAATATTGCTGTTGGAGCTGGGGGAATGCAGGAGGTGATCGAAGGTCTTCCTAATCAACTACCTCGTTCTGATATCGACAGATTGATCGAGGCACTGGCACAGAGGCAGAATATCATTGGAGTGGAGAATGACGATGAGCATGAGCATCAGGGGGAGCAGTTGAGGGCAGTGGGAATAGCGAGTCCCAGGGGAAGTCGTCCGGGGCTTCGACGTGATGGGGACGTCGAGGGGGTGAGACAGAGCAGTGGCAACTGGCAGAGGGACAATACCACCCCCTGGAACAAGCCCATTCTGGCGCAGCCATTGAACCCAGCGATCAAGGTGACGCAGATGAAACAGCTCCAGGGGATGGCTGATCTGGAGCTCGACAATTGGAGGAGAGAGATGAAGAGGAGGCCTCCCAATCCCATTGAGATCGAGGAGAGTCCGAATAACAGGACTAATACTAGAAAGAGAAATCGAGGGATCAGGCATGGGTACAGGACCAGGGCCACTCGAGGGGAAAGGGAGGACGAGTCTGATGAGGATAATGGTAACAGCAACAGCTCGATGAGTAGTAATAGCAATGACTCCAGCGCTGACGAGGCTGATCTCTGCTCAGACACCTCTTCAGACACCAGCAGTGTCTACTCAGACTGGATTGCTGAACATGGGGTCAACCTAGAGCCCCCTAAAAGGAGCAAAAGGAAACCCGTTCAGAAGAAAAGATCGCCAACGCCTCCAACGGACTCGGAGGTGCGGAGGTCCCAGCGTCCTAGGAAAAAAGTCATTCATCTACCTAATGGGGTATCAGAGGTTCCAGAGGCTTACAGACCTTCTGAGTGGCTGACTGAAGTCATCCCCAGGAAGGCGCCTTACTACCCCCAGATGGGAGACGAAATAGTGTATTTTAGGCAGGGCCACAGCCTCTACCTCGACGCTGTCAGAAACAAAAAGGTTTATGAACTGGGAGCGAAGTGCGAGCCCTGGAACAAGGTCAACCTTCGACCCCAGGAGTTAGTCAAGGTCGTGGGGATTAAATACGAGATTCGTCCTCCCAGGTTGTGCTGTCTTAAACTCGCCCTGATGGACGAGGACGGGAGTCTAACTGGGGAAAACTTCACTATCAAATACCACGATATGGCAGATGTCCTGGACTTCTTGGTCCTCAGGCAGACGTTCGACAATGCTCTGCAGCGGAAATGGTCGGAGGGCGACAGGTTCAGGTGCATGATTGATGACGGCTGGTGGATGGGGCAGATCGAGTCCATGGAGCCCTCTGACGATGATTTTCCGGAGTCTTATTTTATGTGCTTCAGAGTGAGGTGGGACAATGGAGAGTTTGAGAGGATGAGTCCGTGGGATTTGGAACCTATTGATGAGGAGCGACTGCCGACTGAGATTGGGGGGGCTGTTCCAGTGCTGCCTGAGGAGATTCAGGCGACCTTGTACCAGCCACAGGTGGAGGAGTGGCCCATGGGGGACAGGGAGGCCACTTGCAGGAGAATTGCCAGGGGAATTGATCAGGTGGGTTGTTGCATCGTATTAATGATACTCCTGAGTTGCAAATAATTTCACTCAGGGTTATTCTAAAATTTGGTTTATTGTTTTTTTTTTTAATAAAAAAGATTGTGTTTAATGGATTTAATCCAATTGGATGTTTAATACGAGTTTCAAAGAATTTTACAATTGACAGATCTTTGAATGTTATATTAAGTCGCTCAGTTTTTATGTCTCATTAAAATATTTCCTTTTCCGTTTTGGTGATCAAATTCATTGAATTAAATATTTAAAGAGTTAAATTAAAATAGTTTTAGTTAATTTATTTATTGATTCGATTTTTTTTACGCGATATTGAAAGCCTATATAAATATTAAAGTTGCTTGATATTATTATATAATTTGATTTTAAGGATAGCCAGGTATTTTTTACAGTTTGGTACAGGTGACACTATAGATTCAACCATTTTAAATGATCAAATTTGTCAAATGATGAATTGATGATGATTTGTTAAATGATTAAATTGCGTGGGAAAAATTTGAAAAAAAAACAGGATTTATCAAATAACACTTTAAACACAATTATTATTTTTTCAAACATTCGTTTTTGAATGATTGTTTAAACTTCCTGAAACCTTATTTTTTAGGTATGAAATTGATTTCTAGTAAAATTCTGAACATGAATACATTTGTTAAGATTTCGAACAAATGATTTTTACAATGGAAAATGGATTGTTGATAAATTAGTTATGAAAAATATCGAAATAAATGATCAATCATTTAATTTCAAGATGCGACAAATTGATTTTTCTTTTAAATTCCTGCAGGTGATGACTCTGGCCATTGCTGAGCATTTTATAACACCTGTGGACCTCAACATTTATCCCACTTATGCGTTTTTCGTGGAGTATCCCATCGATCTCAGCACGATTAAAGCGAGGCTGGAGAATCATTTCTACAGGAGGATAACGTCAGCTCAGTTTGACGTGAGGTATCTGGCAACTAATGCTGAACAGTTTAACGAGCCTCACAGTCAGATTGTCAAAGCTGCCAGGATCGTGACTGATTTGTGTCTGAAGATTATCAAAGCGACAGCGGAAATCGATGTTCCTGCTGTCTATCATCAGCTCGCTGACACGTATCATTCTTCAGACTCTGAGGTCGACGTTGAGGATCACAATATGCCTTCCACCAGCAGACACAGGACCAGGTCCAGCAGGAACTTGAGGTCTCAGCAGGAGGTCTGTGTCGATTGGAAGGTGGCTTGCAGGCAGCTGTTGGAGGCACTTTGGCAGTGCGAGGATTCCATTCCTTTCCGGGAGCCTGTGGACACCATGGAGCATCCCGATTATCATCAGATCATTGATACTCCCATGGACTTGAGGACCGTTAAAGAGGATTTACTCGGGGGGAACTATGAAACTCCTCAGGAGTTTGCGAAGGATATGAGGTTGATTTTTACGAATAGTAAAAATTATAATACGAATAAACGATCGAGGGTGAGTTGATATTGATTATTATTCAATTCCACGCATTCTTCTAATTTTTTTCAAAGAGAAAATATTCAATTTCAATTCAATTCATTTATTTCTTTGATGGTACAAAAGTTTTCTTTGTTTCCCATCTGCACCAAACTTTTCATCTGTTAACTAACATTCTTCTTCTGTTAAATAAGATTATAAATTTCATATAGAGGTGAATAAAAGGGTTTCACTTTGCAATATAAAGGTATTTATAGTATTTACATGTTAAGACCATCTATAATCACTCGCCGAAGAGAAAATATTCAATAGAAACTATTTCATAGAAAAAATGGATAGAATTTTATTTTTATATAAAACTTATTCTATTGAAAGTTTTTTTTTGTAGAATTTGATCGACATAACTTTTCTGCTCTATTCGATGCTGTTTTTTCTCTCATTGAAAAAAGACAGAAAATTGACAATTTAGGCTGAAGAATTTTCGCAGAGAATATGTCAATAAAATAAATTAAAGAAGACCCTGGCGGGATTTTTAGGAAATTGTTGATGATGTAAATGAGTTTTTTAAATTGATTTTTGATGCTTTTGTTCAAGATCTACGCTATGACGCTGAGATTATCGAATTTATTCGACGCTCAAATGAAGAAAATCCTCAACAACTGGAAATCAGCTAAAAGACGGAGTGAGAATGCTAGACCAAAAAGTACAACGGCGACTCAGCCCAGGGCGGTGAAAACTAGATTAACGAATGGAGCAGGTAGGTTTACTTTTCTCTTGTGGAGGAAATAGATAGGTTCTGCTCTTCAGAGATTTGTATTGAATCATCTTTGAATTCGATCTATTCAGGGCCTTCGAAGGCGATTGAAGACAGCAGTGATGATGATGAGGAGGATGTCAATAATGCCAATGATGAGGACTCTGATGATGATGAGGAGGAGGAGGAGGAGGTTAAATTACCTGTGTCACCGAAGAAGAGGGCCCAGAACTTTGATGATCCAGGTGATTATCAGAAGATGATTCAGTGGTGAAACAATTCTAATGAGTCAATTTCATTTGAAGAGAAGTTATTTATGAATATTTCGAAATTATATAGAGTTTTTTTGCAAAGATCATTCTTGCAGAGGACAATGACTTTTTTAAAAATATTCAGTGAATAATATCATCACTTCTTTTAAATTCAGAGATATTCATCAAGAATTTGACATTGACAAATTTATTTGATTCGTTTCATTTTCTTTTTTTGTTACTCTTGAAAACATCTTGGGATTTGAGGGAAAAGGAAATCTTTTCTAAAGGCTTTAACTATTGAGCAAAATCTTCAATACCGAAATATTTTTCAAAAACTGATTGCAGATTTATTGCGCTAAATGGTTCATTAATTTTTCGTTTTTTTTCAATATCAGTTTAATTTTTGAAAAAGGCATTATAAAAATGTTGCTATATCTCCTCCTGACTCACAAATATTTATCAATAATTCTTGCTGAATTACTACACCAAGTTATCGATCAAATCTTCTTAATTTTGAGATTTTCAATTATGATTGTTACAATTACAGTCTTGTACAAAAAAAGATCCCATGTAATTTTACAATTACCCTTAAAGACCGAGATATTAAAAAAAAACTCCGCTGTTTACATTTCCCAATTTCACAATTAAATAATTCTCAAACCTTCCCCCAATCAAATTTCCTAAAAAATTCTTTCTCATGTCCCAGGCCCCTCGAGGATGACCAATGGCCACGTGAAAGCGCCCTCGACATCTCGTCCAACGCGTCGAAACACCCGAAACACGCCGAAGAAATCCCAAGCAAGTGACAGTGAAGTCTCGGAATCCGAGGCCTCCCTGGAGAGTGAATCGAGTGACAGTGCGCCAGCGCGCCGCAAAAGAACTCGCAAACAAACAACAAGTGACGACGACGTGGGCAGTGATTCCGGTGACAGTTACAAACCAAGTGGTCGTGGCAAACAGTCTCGTAAAAATCGCGCTAAAAACAGTAAAAACCCACGAACAGTGAATCGACCAAAGCCCAAGTACGTCCCCCAGGATGACGACGAAGAGGACGAGGAAGAGGACGACGACGACGAGGAGGAGCACATGCTGGAGCCTGAGAATTCCGAGGAAGAGGAGAGTGAGGAGGAGGTGATCCAGAGGAACACAACGAGATCCCGAAAAATGCCTCCAATCCAGCAGCGAGTGCCTCGATCGGTGTCGGACGAGGACGAGAGTGACGAGGGCTCATCAGGGAGCACTGGCTACGGTGCCCAGAGGGAGGACACCCTCGAGACACCCCAGGAATCCAACAGCAATGACTCTGAACTAACGAACAATCGCCTGAGAAATCACAGGCCGCAGAAGAAAATTCACACTGGCCTCAGTGATGATTCTGAACCTGACGAGGTGATTTCACACACAAGAAGAACTGTTAAACGACCTAGATACAATGAGGAGAGTGATGACAGTGGTACAGCACCTGTTAGAAATAGGCGTAAGATTAAAAGACGTTATTACAATGAGGAGAGTGATGAGAGTACACCAGAGCCTGGTGTTAGTATAAGCAGTAGGGGACGCGTGCGCAAGTTGACACCTAGGGCACGTGCTTTTCTACTTGAATCACCTTAACGGCCTTTTATTTAAATAATTACGTTACCTGTATGATACGTGGCCAAAGTCCTAAATCAAGTAATTGTCACAAAATTTATTCATCTTTCGTTGTTATTTTTCTTTTAGTTAAATGGGGGGGGGTTTAAATTCGAGGATTAATCTCTGTTGATTTTGGCTATTGGTCAGTTTTCTATGAATATCTGGAAATCTAAGGCAGATAGAAAAATTGTTGTTATAACCTTTTTCGTAGCTCGCAATTCGATCTACAAAAAAGGTTATTACGAAAACTTCGCTATTTCCCTTGAAATCGGAGATACTAATCGAAAACTTAGCTAAGAGCTAAGTCGACTTGAATTGTTTTATCACTTCGCTACTGAATTGTGTCGGTTTTGTGGCGGAGATTGTACTTGAGAATTTTGGGGGACTCCTTAGTTGATTGATTTATTTAATTTTGTATTCAGTGAATTGGTAATTTTGATTTCAGTCATCATTATGTCGTGATTAATTAGCCATTTTCAATGCTTGATTTTTTATGATTTTGTTCTGTCGGTTTACATTGTGGGTGAATGCTGGTGACTTTCAATTAATCACTGCCAATTATGGGGAACTCTTGGTTAAACGGCAATTCAACGATTATTAATGTACCTGGGGCAACTTAATGAAATTACTAATTTTGTATTTTTCATTCAATTCTTCTGGTTATCTCGTTATTCTGCGTTCACCTTTCTGGTAAATTATAAGGTCAAAAATGGAGGACATTATCACTAATTAATCGATTGACACTGCACACATGTACTGTAAATACTACTGAGGGTGTTAATCAGCGGTATACACTACGTACAATTGTTAACAGAAAATGTAATCATTGATGAGATTGGTGAATACCGGAGTCTAGACATTTATTTGCAAAGTTGATGATCAATACCTCATTTTCATAATTAGAAATATGTATTTGATGTTTTTTGAAATCGTGTGATTGCTTATTTATATGATGATGTTTCAAATTTCTATCGAGTTCAAAATAAGGCAGTGCCTTTGCCACCAATCAATAATTCTCAATATAGGTTTTTAAATAATTTCCGTTCTATTGTCAATTTATCTATCTCGAGTTTTTTTAATTGAAAATCATCGTCGCGAATTTTCGATTTTCTATTGGCATTAAACGTCAATGCATATTACTTGTAATTTAGGTAATAATGTAATTTGAGTGAAGAGCAACGTCTGTCCACTGTTGTTTGAAGTCTTGACTGTCTCAAGCCATTGTGATATTAGACATAAGATTACGATAATTAGGTGGTAATGGTTAAATTATTGAGTCAACTCCTCAATGCATATTTTTTATAATACAAATGAGACAAAACATAATTTTAGGTGGGTTCGATGGAGGTGAGGGAGCCAGGGGTAGAGCATAAAAATTGTCTGATCAGACATTGTATCGTGGTTTCAGTGGAATAGTTGATCTTTATTTACTGTGTGATTACTGATTATTCGATTAGATTTACTGAATTAAGGAGATAGAATACTGGATCGTTGATTGAATAAGATACGAGTGGAGATAGTGTATTGTGGCGTTATTGTAATGTAGAATTAATATTAATATTTCATTAATATCAATAAATATCCAATGGTAACGTTTGATATCGAGTGAGTGATTTTTTACCTTCAACAATTTTGGAATATATCATTTTCTCTCGAAACATTTCCGGGTGTGACAAATTTGCTCATCAAATAAAAAACTTTTTCTTTTTATGAAAGGTTTTAAACATTTCACAATCTTATTTTCTGATATATGACCAATTTCTGGTAAACCCTTGAGTATGAACGTAATTTTTTACGATCTCTAAAAATGATGTTTAGGGTGGAAAATAGATTTCATAAAATATTTATGAGGATATCGTGGTATTGGACAGTTTGAATTTTTCCAATATTTTATAGATTTCTGTCGGAAACCAGACTTTCTAATTTTTTATTGCAGATTTTTTCAAACATTTAATTTATAATTGTCTCGAAAACTTAAATGGCAGTGCATAATTGCTATTTTAATTGGATTTTTATGTCTCAAATACCGTTATCAAATTCTTTCCACTTCAAAAATATTTTCCAACAGTTGAAGATGGAGAATTAATTTGAGGGCTTTAAAGATTAAATAATAAAATCTTTGCAAAGTTTTCGGAAGTCTACGTTCAACTAGGGCTTCAATCAGAACCCTGATGTTCAACTTTCAATATTGAAAAAAAACGAAAAAAAAAAATAATCAGGGTAAAGAGGTGAAATTAAAATGAATAATTCTTTTTGGTCATGTCAATTTTAATCATGACAGAATTTCTAGACAACTTTATTACATGATATGAGGATACAGTCTACATTATGTAAATTAAGTAGGTATCAATATATCTTTAAATATACATAACATTTGGTAGAATTAAAAACGATTAAAAAAATTCTAAATGAATCACCTACAATAATTGATGTTCGTCCTTAAAAAAAACAAAAATATGAAATGAAAATCGTATCAACTAGCTTCATCTCTACACCCTAGTAATTAATAAATTACGTCATTACTTGATCGAATTGATATTTCATTTGTCCCTCGTTAATAGTCGTGATATGTAGAAACGACTGGCTCGTATATTTTCTCATGTCCTTTATGTTCATTAGAAAAAAGCCTTATGTATCCTCGACGTAGAGATTGCATTAGTTTCTCGTAAAATATAATAACTAAATTAATGGAATTCAATAAACAATTGATCATGTCGGTGTCACATATTACAAAATGCAATGTTTCCATTGATTTATCTTGAACAAAAACAGTGCCTCCCACGGTGTTTCAGCTATTTAATAAAGATTTTTATGACTACAAAATTTTCATGTCTCTGCTCGGTTATGATTTATGAGGGATAATACTCATCAACTTTTTTACGTCGAGGAAGCGCCAGTGGCAGTGAACAGAATGGGTATTAAAACGCAACGCATTCTTACCATCTATATCGAATACGTAATTTGATACATTGCTTTTCTTGCATGCACTGTTAGTATTTGTTTCACTTCTTTTCATTTATAATATTTGTAACCGTTACATTTTAGTATAGTTTATCTAGCAAGCATAACAATTATGATTTTTCCATCATTAAATCATTAATTTTTTTTCGTGATATGACGAGTCAATACGTATCATTAAAACATCTCTTGTCCATCATCTCTCGAATTGCTTTTTTTCGTGTTTTACTGATGCAGGGAATCTTAATTGCCAATTAATTAGTTATCGTGTCAGCTATACAATGGCCAAATATCAAAAACTTATAAAATATTCAAAAAATTACCATTGTAAAAGTTGGGTGGGATTCCCTGACCCTGCATTACTCTGAGAAGTTCATTATATTTTTCGTTTTCAAGATTTCGTGTCTCTGATATGCGTTTCAGTCAGATTATCATTCTTGGTCATTTTATCAGTAACACTAAGTTTTATCTAAACTCCTTAAATGTTTTCACTTCGATTTCCACTCTCTCTCCCTCTCTCGCTGACTATTCGACTGAGTTATCTGGATGAATTATTTGGTTAACAGGTCTCATTACAACTTAAGCATTAAACAGTATCGTTTTATATTCTTTTTATCGTGTTTTTTGGAACAACCTGTGGTATGTTGAGTTCAAAGATATGCGTTTCGTATTGATGTGTTTAATTTTATTCATTTGAAAGCTGGAGGGGCGCGCTGACCGTTGGTCCTTGGGGTGTCCTCCGTCATCACTGTCACTAGTTCACCAACGACTTTGCCCAAGTCCCCTGGAAAAATTAGTAAAGAATGTTATTGGAGTTCTCGAAAGGTTTATTTTTCATATTCTCAGGGGTAAATGGAGAATTCAATTTTTTCAGGGCTGGGGATTATTTCAGAAAAATCAAATGGAAATTGTGGCTTGAGTTTGTTGTTTCGAATAATACTATTTTTTAATTCTTCTGAGACTTGAATTAATTACATATTTGCTATACTATTGAAATTTTTTTTGTCTTTTTATTTCATTATTTTGATAATGTTTATCACAATATATTTACTTTATCAATTTTTTGAACTAAAAGTTAAATTTATTTTGAAGAAAAAATCATTTTCAAACGACAAAATAGATATATTTCAAGAGATTATGATCAATGATTCACATGAAGTGGTTTTTTTCCATCGAACTATGTTGAATGCTATTCAAATTGTCACGTATGATGACTTTATAGTAGCAGAAAGTCATGAATATTTCGAATAATATTTCATCGCTTGGGAGGTTTCAACAATATTGACTGTGAAACAGAAATGAAATAGATATTTGCCATTTCGAAACATCAGAATAAATGATAAAATATTGCCCGTTTCATTCCACTGGTTCAATGAAGAAGTTGAATACTCAAATAATGTTCGTCACACGCTGGTAAAGAGAAATTGTAATTCCATGGACAGTTTAGTAGTAATTTTCTGGAAAGCTGCATTGAATTCCATTTACGAGGCAATTTCTTATGAAATTTGAAATTTTTGAGCAGCGGAATGACAAAAACTCCCTAACTTAGGTAAATTCTCGACAAAAAAATGAATATTCGGTACAAAATAACGATGATTTTTCAATCAATAGAAATTTCAAGAATACTAAATGTGATGAAATTCCTGAATTTTCATTATTTTTATTATTATTTATAGAATACTTGAACTGAAATTTACACCTTCCATTGAGCCTTCCATCAAATTATAAATTTTCAATCGATCGATGATACGATATTCTGATAAACTATGCATTAAAAATGACATTTCTTGGACTCAACAATTTCGAACATGTTTAGTCGCCATTTCTAAAGCCTTCGTAACAACAGACTCATGAATATTTCGCATATTTCACCCAGCTCTGAATTTTCCTGATTTATTGAGTTAATAAAACCCTCAAGAACAGTTTCTCACCTTTTACATCCATCCTACAATAGGTATAGCCCACAATAAAGAATGGAAAATAGTTAGTACCATAAATGATTCATGCAGTTAATGACTTGATCGTTATAATGATGATGAAAAGACGAACCTGCCATATGCAAAAGATTACCCACATTATGGGCAACGTTGTGGGAATGCGGTGGTGGCGGTGGTCTTTCTAAACTGCTAACGCGTCCCTCACCCGCGCCTCCTCCACCTGAACTCACCCATTAATTCGTATTATGAATAAACTATCGCCGAGAGGCATTATATTATAAAATTGGCAAGTATAAACAGCCATCGACGAAATGTAATGCAAACAGATATTTCATTAATAACAATGAGTAATCGAAAGCAGCATTAAACCAAAGTATTTTTTAATGCTAATTGCCGAATCAATCCTCGAGCATGAAACGATAATGGGGGCATATAAAATTGATAAATGAAGCAGAGGCACCGGAATGATTCTTATAATATCCCCATGATTATGCATGCAGATAAAAATTGAGGGCTTGGGAAAATTATGAAATTTGTACCTGACGTGTCGTGATAGTGTCCATTGACTTTGGCCGGTGAGTCGGTCGCTAATTGCGAGGCTGTGACACTTCTTGTCTGGAGGGTACCAGTTTTAGATGGAGAGGATGCGTTCGGCTGTAATAACGTCATTTTTCAATCTTTTGAAAAGTTAATTCAGGGGCGAAGGGAAATGGGACATTTATTATTATGAAATTCTCTCAATAAAGAATAAATAAATAATGTAAAGAATTTTCTTGCACTTACGAAAAAATTTAATAGAAAAAACTATCGAATTCGTTGAAAAATTCTATTGAATTTCTATTGAACTGTTTTGTTAGTTTTTGGCCGAGGAAACGTCAATAGAATTCAATTTTTCTATATAACTTATTCTATTGAGATATTTTCTATAGAATTTCTTCAGTTCAAATTTACCAAGTTTTTTCGTTTGATTTTCTTGATGAAAACAAAAGAAAAATAGAATAAAAAAAACTTGGAAAATTTGAGTCGAGCAAATTCTATAGAAAATATATGAATAGAATAAGTTATATAGAAAAATCGAATTCTGTTGACTTTTTCTATTGCAAGTTTTCTATTGAACATGTCAATAGAATCAGTTAAAAATTAATAGAAAGTTTAATAGACATTCAATAGAATTTTCTAACGAATTCGATAGGTTTTTCTATTAACTTTTTTCGTGCGTGTGTGTGAATTCTTCAATAAATGAATTCATTGAGATAATTTCATGTTTTAGTTACGATGTTTTAAATACAATATTTGTTGAATAATAAATTATCTTCATAATGGAGGAACTCAAGAATAGACGCTCTAAATATAATTTCAATAGCAGAGATAATTTCGGGCAGTAAATACCTCCTGACAATTTGACCTGACTATAGATTCATTCATTATCGAAATAACAACATTTTTCAGTTCTTCAGATCATTAATTTATCGTCAAACGGGCCGTTTCTTAAATAATAAATCACCTCCATAATGAGGGAACTGGGTAAACATTTTTTCAAGCGACCTTCCTCGTAACTCTGAGAATCCTCTCTGAAAACCATCTCCCGCCATTTTTTCCTGAGCCCTCTCAGTATCGAGATAATATCCCGTTTCCGCTTTTTAAATCATTAATGAAGCAGTGGAGTCAAACTTAAAATTAATGAGAGCACTAAACAATACACAAAGCTCTTTGAGATTCTTTCTTAAACCCCTCCCCACGAAAATCTCCAAAACATATTATAAAAATCCAAATCGACTTCTGGTGATAGAAACGGGTCACACACGGGTCAAATTAAGGGCCACAAGGGTCAGATAAAGAGTCCAAATGAGGGTAAAAAGGGTCAGATTAAGGATTTAAACAAGGGACATGAGTGTCGAAAACAGGGTCAAAATAAAGTTCACGAGGGTTATAATGAGGGTCAGATTAAAGATCCAAAATAAGGGTCTCAATATCTCTCTATATTGTAAAAATCCAAATCGAATTTTGGTGATGAAAATTTGGTGCTCGAAATTGAGACTCCAAAATTAAGGGTCAAAATAAGGGTCACAATGGTCAGAATAAGGTCATGAGGTCCTATGGGGCATGGCGAGCGAAGCGAGCAGAAGGCCTAGGCTAGCCCCCTACTCCCAAAAATGAACCCATAAACTCACCTCTTCAAGGAGTTGCCTGAGCCGTTGCAGCTGTGCCTCTAATTGCCGATTATGATCCTCAAGAATCTGCATGCGTGCCTCGAGCCTCCCCTTGTGCTGCCTAAGTAACTTGGCCTCAGCAATCATATCACAGTCCGGCTGTCTGCCATGTCCATCCTCAGGCGTCGACCCAGGCGTCTGTTTCGATCTGAGTCTCTCATACTCAGCTTGGAGTGTGGCATTCTCCTCCTCCAGTTCCCTGATCATGGCCTCGAGTTCCTCCCTCTGCTCGGCATCGATGGCAGCCATCACCTGCACCGGACTCCTGGGTGCATTGATGTTGTCACTGCCATTCAAGCTATGACAATAATGCGCAATAAGCTGATGCTCATCATCGCTGTCAGGCGTTGAATTGCTCCTAGTCCTGGAGAGCTCAACCTCAGCGAGTCTCGAGGCATACATCTCCAGCCTGGAATGCATGTCCTGGCTCAAAGTGCTGTGCTGAGGCGACGGTGCTGGACTCTCGAGAGCGTCTCCCTCGAGCACAGTCTGCACCGGGAGATACCCAACCCTCGGATGCTTCTTGAAATACCTCTTCGACTTGAATTTATTCCTCAACGCTCTCGTGAAGTCCCTCACATCTTCCCCAGAAGTCGTCGCTGTGCAGTACTCCTGCATAGGATGCGTCAACTTGTGATTCTTGGCTTTTCTCCCCGAGAAGAAGCAGCTCTGACACATGTCGAAGTTGAAGCACTTGAGGCACCTGTACCTGAAGCCAACGATCGGGTACTCCTTGCAGATATTGCATTTTGCCTGGTGTTTGGCACTCTCCGCTGCTGCCAGTCTGTGCAGCACTGGCAGCCAGACCATGCTCTGGGGCTCCTGCTGCAGCCAGCTGAGAAAATGAACAGCTTCTATCTCGTTCTTGTCCTTGCCAGCTTTCTCGAAGCAAGAGCGAACACTCGGCTCGATGTTGGAGCCCCCGAAGGCAGCTACTTCACCCAGTTGCCTGGGTACCTGGATGCAGTCGTGGAGGAGGAGACCCAGTTTACGCTGGTCGACAAGCCTGTTGGGGTCGGCTATCAGCCGGAACAGGTATCTGTACTTCTCCTCGAGGTGACCCTTGCACAACAACACCAAACCAACTTTGAAGGAGAGAACGCGGATCTGGCCGGTTCTCTGGCTGTCGTAAACGTTGAGAAGCCAGTTTATGGCGAGATCGATGCACAGGGGAACGGACACCTGCGTTGGATTGTCGGCAGCTATGACTTCGTATAAGGAAGTCAGCACTGTTATCATGTCGGGTATATCGATGAGCTTGTCGTTCTGGGCGCGCAAACCGTGCGAGTCAAAGTGCTCGAGGGCTGTTGAGAGACTCAGCATGTCCAGGCACAGCCTCTTCTGGACTGTTCGCAGCTTCATAGCTGTTCTGTAGGCGGAAAAACGCACCTCGTTCAGGTCTGCCAGGGAGGCCATCAGGTCGATCATCTTCGGGTGATCCCAGTGGGTTGTCTCCAATTGGTGATTTATGTAGTAAGGCACTTTGGCTGGCGTGAGGGCTCTCTCCCATGGTGGCTCGACGCTACCAGCGAGGAAAGCCTGACTACCTGGAGTGCTACCATCTTTACCGTATCCACTTAGTAATTTGTATCTATCGTCCACTGCTAACTGCAAAACTTTCCATCTGGGAGCAAATTGTTAGGGATTATTTTTTTGATAATAAGAGGCACGCACGAAAAAATTTAATAGAAAAACCTATCGAATTCGTTAAAAAATTCCATTGAATTTATATTAAACTTTCTATTAGTTTTTGGCTGATTCTATTGACATGTTCAATAGAAAACATTCAATAGAAGAAGTCAACAGAATTCGATTTTTTTATATAACTTATTCTTTTCATATATTTTCTATAGAATTTGCTCGACTCAAATTTTCCAAGTTTTTTCATTCTATTTTTCTTTTCTTATCATCAAGAAAATCAAACGAAAAACCTTGGAAAATTTGAGCCGAGGAAATTCTATAGAAAATATCTCAATAGTATTCTATTGAGATATTTTCTAATAAGTTATATAGAAAAATTGAATTCTATTGACTTTTTCTACTGAATATTTTCTATTGAACATTTCAATAAACCAAAAACTAATAGAAGAGTTCAATAGAAATTCAATGGAATTTTCTAACGAATTCAATAGGTTTTTCTATTAAATTTTTTCGTCCGTGGGGTTAAGGGATATTGGATAAATAATTGCGGCGTTGATTAAATTGTCATAGTGAGACGGTTCGCTAAATTAATTTGGGTTCATCAGGATCTTGACGGAAATCTACATTAACACATTAAATAAATAAACTCTCAGTCAACAGAAAAAATACAGGAATTTTCCAAATTCATTTGCCAAATTAAAAAAATTTTTTTCATCAACTTGTTTTTTATTCATGGGAGTATTGGTGAGAATAATTTTCCATTCAGTAGAATAGAGAATTATCGAGAAGTTTTGACGGGAGAAGATTTTGTCAACGGATTAATTGAAAAGAAAATGAAACAGCAAATTCCCAAGTCCAGAGCAAGGCCGAAGGGGGAGAAAGAAAATTTCTTGCTGAATTTCAGTCGAATAATCTATTGACAAAATCTTCGCCCATCAAAACTTCTAAATAATTCAAACAGTCGTTTTTTTGGCTGTTTCATTTTCCTTCATATTTCATTTTACCCAACTGTTTCATTTTGCCCCATTCTCCCCTATGTATTTATCCCAAAGGTATTCCCCAACAGATAATTCTCGCGACAAATACAATCCTTCCATTGACAAACAAACCACAGTGTTTTCATGCATTGAAGTTGAAACAGCTTTGATGCGTGCATTTTGTCATCAAAGGAGGCATGTTTCATAGAAACTAATTCACCCCTGTTCCCTCGTAAAACTGTCCTGAGTTTCAAATTACCTTGTATTGAGATCCTCGAGTTTAGCTAATAGCGCATGAGATACTATGACACTACTCGAAGCAAACAAACTAGCTTGGTCATTGGCTTCCTCGATGTTTCTCTGAATGGGTCCCAATCTGTCGCCAAACTTTTGCAACTGCTCCAACATTTCTCCCGCCTCTGATGCATCAGCGGGACTCTGCCAGCCACTCTGAATTGCCTCGGCCCCGGCCATTCTCGATGAGAGGTCCTCCAGTGCCTTTTGAAAAACGCACATTTTCTGGAAAATCAAAAGGGAGACGTGAATTGAGGACAATTATAAAAACCACATTCATCAATTTCGCCTTTTATTCATCATTTTTCGGTTTTGGCGAGTTATGAATTTGGGATTTTAATGAATGTTTGGGGGGTTGCCTTTGAGGAGGAGCTTTACATCGTCATTGAGGTGAAAAATTTCGTTCCACCCGACAGATTGTGGGAGGCGATGGTAATCTGCTAGGGGGAAGGAAGCGAAATTATCCGAGTGAAATACCGGTGAATATTCTCTGGTAGAAGGCCATTGCTCCCTTTATGCAGTCTTCTCAGACCGCACTACAAAGTACCTCTTGTCCAGCATAAATCCACAATTTCTGTTATTCACGGAAAAAGAGATGGATGAAATTTCGTTTTGCGAGGTTTTTGAGTGAATGTCTACACTGACAAGCTCACGTGAATCAGAGATAGGCAAAATCATAATGCAGAAATAGAATTATTTCATTTCACACAAAATCAGTTGACTGTATTGTTCAATTTTTTAATTTTTATTGAATTCATCATCAATCAAAAAAAATTTCAAATATTAAATTAGTTAATCAAATTATTCAATTTTTCAAATTTTTTATCAATCAGCAATCTTTTTCGCAAGAGTGACGATTCTTCGATTAATTGAAAAATTAAATTCAGACATTTTGGAATTAATTGTTTGGTAATGATTGAAAATTGAAAATTGTTTTCAAATTTTTAGTGAACTTTAATTAGTTTACGGTAAACTCCTTTTAACCCTCCTGAACTGGCGTGTAGAGCGGCGCGCCACCGCCAACTACTCAACCTATAGGGCGCCACTGCAGTGCAAGTGAGACGTAAGAGATCGACCCAGTTCAGGAGGGTTAATACAAGCGCCACCCTAGCGCCACCCATGCCCTTGCATTGTGCCCTTTTTCTTGTCAGATTTGATTTTTTTTTCAATTAATTGATTATAATCATTCTCATTGCAAAAAGCAATACGGCCGATGAAAATCCTGTCATCTCATATTACAGCCCAGGCAGCCAAAATCCGCTCTACTGACGTTCTACGATCGACAGGGACCGATGGGTTGCTGTCGTGCCACCGTTGACAGCAACAGCATCGAAAGGTCGGCAGTACATCGTCAGTAGTAAGAGGATTAATTATAAGGGTCGGGGGTTTATGGGGCACAGTAAAACCCGTGAAGGATAGTACCTCTATTCTACATGCAAAAGGCGTATGCGGGGGTCCAGGTAGAACCCTTTGCCAATGATACACTTTTTTATTTTTCCTCATAATCACCCCATCGACAGTGTTGGCTGACTGGGAGGAAATCAGTAACGAAGATGTAAACCCGTTAAGTCGATTTTGACTATTGACCAGTTTTTGACGAATATCTCGGAATCGAAAAGAAACAGAAACTTTTTTATTACGGCCTTTTTGTAGAGCCAATTGAGGGCTATAAAAAAGGTAATGAGAAAAATTTTGCTACGTCCCTTAGATTCTGAGATATTCATCAAAAACTAGTCAAAAGTCAAAATCGACTTGACCCGATTTACCGCTTCGCTAGTGAAATGATTTGCACGAGATATTCGCCATGGTCGTTCTCATTTTCGATTCGAAATATTGCACATGCCTTTTCTTTAGAAAGAATTATTAAAGAGATTTTTTTCCTTAACCCTAGTTTGGTCACCATAGGAGGGAAACGCCGCAGGTCGATTTTTTTTTCTTACCATTGACTGGCTGAGCGGAAAAATCCTAAAAAATTGGAATGCGTCAATTCAAGTGTCTAGAAAATTATAATATTTTTTTAAACTATTTATATCCACAATTCCTGAAGAAAAAAAATTATTTCTTACAGACGGGCAATTTTTTCCCATATTAACTGAAATTGCCCGTTGTGCGACGTTGCCGAAATCGAATTTTCTCGATTTTTTTTTAAATCAACGGAGATTGTTTATTAGAAAAATATTGACCGAATGTGTTTTACATTGAATTCAGAATGCATCGTTTTTGTCAGGTCGATTCGGCAATTCTAGAATGAGATAGCCGCAGTCGACATTTATATTAATTGAATAAATAATTATTACAATATTGAGTTTTTTTTTCTCTCCTTGGCATTCCAAGGGTTCAACAAATCTCTGGAAAAATTGACGATTTAAAAAAAAAAAATTTCGTACGTGTGGTAGCAGTTCAAAGTTTGCCGACTTTTACGGACCCTGAAAATCGAGGGGTTTTTCGGCTTCTCACAGCGATTATAAATAAACTAATGAAATTAAAAACTTGAAACTTCGTATTGGGTGAGTGAAATACTTATATTACACAGTGCAATTGGTTCCATATTTTTACGATTTTTTTTTCGTCGAGTTATAGACGTTTATTTCGAGTGGTCTCTACTTTTGACACCGACAGTAGGTTTAAGGGATAACAGAATGTCGCTAATTTTCCAAATTTTTGCACAAATTTTTTGCCGCAAGTTATCAATATTTTTACAAATCGAAGCACATTAATCTACAGGAGGTGACGATGAAGATCAACGTGCTTTGGGTTCAAAAAATATTAATGAAATTGAGCAGGAAATTTGTTTGAATATTTCGAGGAAACGATGGCCTTCTGTTACCCCTCAATAAAAAAGTGAAAAATCAATTCTGTATTTTACCCGGGAAAAATCAATTATTTGAAATAGTAATAATTTTTTTCAGTAAAATATAACAATAGTTTTTTTTCTTTTTTTTGTTTAAAGTGATTTTGGCGATCCCTGACGTGAATAATCTCTCCCGAATAATTTAGGATGAAATCTGAATACGATTAAAATTCCAAATGAAACATAAATTCGACCCCACTTGAATGATTTTAATTCCTTCACATCATTAAATGATGATGTAAAATCCGTGAATTTCCGTTATTAATTCCGAGAATTTATGATGCAATACGATTTTTCGAAATGAAAAGGAAAAAATTGTTCATTTTCCCCTCTGTCAAGTAACTCCATCAAACATAAACGAATTACTCAATTAAGCTGCAGTTAATTAGAAATAATTGACCACTGGCATAAGCGGGAATTAAGAAAGCTTTTTTTCGAATCTCTGTACAGAGCTTTTCCATTCACCCCAGCGTCCCTCATTCCATTGAAAATATGCGAATGGAAAATTTAATTGGCCCAGTCTGACTGCATCCATCAAGACAGTAATGAATTTAATCTCACGCTCACAAAAAATTTTAAGACAAAAAAAGCTCAAGCTCGAGTAACACGTGATCACCTTTTTCGGGTGACTCTCTCTCTCTGTCTCGCCTTCTTTCTCACTCTGTCGCTCCGTTGGAGTCTGACACTGTAATTTATAATGCTCTTTAATCGTACAATTAAAGTTGGGCTCGTTGCATGTATCTGGAGGAGTGACTCCTCCACACGATTTCTTCGTAGAATTTCACCAAGTTAATTGTCTGGCGCCATTCGATATCGTGGAAGTCTTGCATTAAACTACGTCGTCTCCTCGACAATTAGATACTTCGAAGTGCAATTTATCGGAACAAATTACTGGCTTGACAATTGAACCTTTCAATTCAATTGGGGGGGGGGGGG